TATAGTTATCATCTTCAATATTCTTCGCCGTTTTCTGTGAACTGTTCTCATCGTTGAATGTCTGAAAATTAGCACTATAATATAAGCATGGCATCTTTATTATATGTGAAAATTTATGACCGTACCATCATGCACAAAGTGTTGCAACATTATTTATAAGGCTTAAGAAAATTCGTCACTGTTTTTGAGTAGCACTTTATGAATCAAACAAGTATCGTGCTACGTAACTAGTCCAAAACAACTGAACAACCTAATCATCTCGCTACCTTAATCTAAGTAGAATTGTCTTACCTTATTAATTTCCTCGAGCTCATGACGTACTTCGGCTGCAGTCGGTCTTCTTTTGGGATCATGATCCCAGCATTTGCACATTAATGTTATCACAGCTTCGGGCATATCGTCCGGACTTGGCATTCGATAGCCTTTCATCACCTTCAAACATGAACTGTTTGAGCAACCAACTGAACATATTCATATATGCAAGCCTGCACGTGTGCACTCATAGAATCAATCGCATAGCAATGAAATGCTACTAGCCTTTTCTTTCACTGTAAACGCTTTCCATTTACAGTACGGAGGATTATAAGGTATTTCAAAGAATTCCCACAACGTTATACCGAATGCGTATATATCTGTGCAGAAACGAGTCTCGCCCGTTCGCCAAACCTGAAATTTACCATATTAACGTTTAACATTGATCAGTTATTGACCAGTAGATCAATTAAAACATCAAAACATTAAGATCGTATCATACTGACTACAGCTAGCAGTCAGAAGCAAAGAAATCACCTCAGGTGCCAGCCAACGGACATTTTGTGGCTTACTCAGGTCAATCTTATAAACAAGTGTTGCTCGACACATTCCAAAGTCTGCCAATTTTAGCACTTGTCCAGAAAGAAGACAATTACGGGTGGCTAAATCCCTGCAAAATGGAACGACAAAAATGTTCGCCTTATATAAAATTCTGTGGTGCTCAGTGGACATCTATTCATTCTCATCCTGACAGGATTTCATTGTTTGACCGTTTATAAGCGGTCAAACTGCAGTTGAATCGAACCAGAATATCAACAGATCTGACGATCATGCCTATGATTTCATATCTTTTAATTTACTGAGGCAGTGTCAAATGATCATGTTTATGAGGACAAGCATGCATTACTGATGAATCCGGCAAGATTCATCTATTCCTCTCGGAATAAATTTACCGATGAATGCATTTTTTCTCGTGGAGGTATTCAATCCCTCTGGCCGTTTGACAGGCCATATCAACCCGAGTAGCAATTGAAACAATGGCTCCACACTCTCGCAATTTATCCTCGACCGAGCCATCCTGTAGCAAGCGAATCATGAACTGGACAATTTAGCTGGGTATACGCATATAGGATGGATATTATGAGTGCTTTCAAATTTAGGACAACTTATAGGTTTTATTATTTAGCCACAAACTACAGCCCTATCAATTTGCGCAGTTTGTTACAACTTTTTGACATCATCATGCCAGCAAACATCGCTATCGTAGCACACCCCACTGTAATCTTCGTCTATCGGCAAGCAGCAACTTGTCAGTGAGACCGTGCGTTCGAAAAACCTCGAAAATTTAGCAGTGACTGGGTTGATTCTGAAGTAAAAAGACAATATGCTGAGCTGAATATCAGGATTAATTGGTCTTGAATGCACTGAAAGAACATGAGCAATACCTTGCAGTATTCCATGACAAGAAGATAAGGTGGTCTGTCGACAATAAAGCCAAAAAAGCGAACAACATTCGGATGGTCGTATAACTGCATTACTCGAGCTTCCTTCATCATATCGATTAGCCCTTGTTCGTTCTTGTCATCCGAATCCAAGCGTTTCACAGCCACTGTTTGCCCATCTCGCGCTAGCTTCGCTTTGTAGACGGTACCGTAAGCACCACTCCCTATCTGATTGATAACTCTCATTAGACAAAACACTATATTTAATTGACTATCTTTAGTTTTAAGGTAAGTGCTGTTATACATCTCCTGATCCTTATCCACACAAAGCATTTACCTATTCCTCTGAAGACATTACAATGTCGATGTAATTACTGATATTCTCCTTCACTTTCGATGTGTTGGTCTGCACCTGATCGAAAATTGGGTGGATGGAGGCAGTGTTGGAGGATTCAATCAATCAAGCATTATTAAGGAGGGCTGATTCATCATAATTACGAACCTTTCGCTGAATTTTTACGTCCTTATGATTCATTTGATATTTCCCTTTGGGTACGGCATGCTTGAGATGGATGGTTTCGCCTTTTCCACAGTCAATTGTTCGCGCTTGATAATATTCCACCAATGATTTAACGTCACCGAACGATCTGCCCTGAAAATTTACGATCCTATGTACCATAGGATCGATCCATTTTACGATCCATTTACGATCCTATGTACCACTTTCGGAATTCCCTTAAGCACTACTTGAGTATCATCATGATCAAAAATTATGTCAAAAGAGTCACCTACATATCTTCATCACGACAATCGTTTAGCAGCCGATTAGAAGTATGAATGGAGTAGGATGAGACATGATTGGAGCCTCAAATTTGTACTGAGACAAAGTTTGGAGCATAAATCAGGCAGAAGTTTTACTGAAAACTTTATCATAGATAATGGATTGAACATCTCGAGCGAATGAGATGTATGAGTTTCATGAATTACTCTGCAACGTACAACAATGCGAAAACCATTCTCCAAACGCTGGATATCAAATCGTCGCGCTTTACCACCCTTTCTAACAGCCAGAATGAGTCTGGTGTGTGTCCGGTTTGGATCACTCCGAGCCTGAATTAAGAAATCGCCATCCTTTTCGAGTAATTTATCCGCATCTTCATCCAACAGGGCACCATGGAAATAGTCCAAACTATATTCGCTCGTCATTCAAAAGCAGCTGTAATACTCTTGATTTGATCAGATTCCTGGCAAAAGAATTAAATATTGATGAAATCTTACCGATGCTAATGAGCTTGAGAAGGACCAGATCCTCGGATGGAGTACTGTTCCGAATCACTTTTCTAACTAGCGGTCCACAACATACAACAATGAATGATCGAAAAAATCTCCCGACGAAGCCCTATCAGATAAAATGGCGAGACGTAAACGTGATGAATAACGTCTGGACGTTTCCAGATGTCACCGTGAACATTCAAAAACCATCTTTCGGATCCACATTCATGGTCAGAAAAATTTTGCTCAGTTCGGTTGAAATTTTACCTTAAACGAAGATTCGGAACAAACCCTTCGGTGATCAATAATTCATACGAAATGACCATCATATCAATTGCATCGAAAAATTCGTTTTCAAATTAGCAACTATTCAAAATTTCCAAATTACTGAAAAATCTAAACTGAAATCACTTACAAATTATATTCAGTTAATGACAGTCGTTCCAACTCATGGCACTTTCACATTCTATATACGAATTAACGTGGGATGTAGAATGCGTCTCCCACGCTCAGGTCCATAGTTATAATACAAACTTTCGAAGCCTCTTCGCAAGCCAACTGACTACACGTAGCGTTACGCTTCGATAAAAGAACATCATGCCATGCTGATGGTATAGTATCATTCAGCTGTACACCTCCAGTGCTTGAGAACCAGGCTCTATTGAATCACCTGATTCTGATTGTGTAGAGGCCAGCTGTATTATAGAGGAAATTAGGAAATTTGCACCCGCATTGCCTTGAGATAGCACTAATAAAATATATAATTCTCTTTAAGTAAAAAAAATTTAGATATTTTATTAAAGCTATCTCAACTAGCGCTGAGGTGCTCATTGATATGCATTTGATCACTATAGAACAATGCATATTATACATTGCTATAGAAATATGGGTTTGATACATTCAAACCTACCGTCTTCTCAAGTTTGCCTGGAAACATATCGATAATTGTACATCATTCGATCGCGCAGAATCTCTGCTTTCTAAAATTGAAAAGCTGGCCGGAAAATTCCGCCTCTGCGAGGATATATCGTACCCTCAGCTTTGACCAGTAACACATCAATTTCTTCAAACCGGTCGATCGAGCAGAATCTTTGCATTCAGAAAAATATATATTTTGTCGGGTGATTTCGCTTAGTTGAGGAGCTATAGCTATTTGATGAAAGCTATCTGAAGTCGCGCTGAGGTGCTCATTGATATGCATTTGATCACTATAGATCAATGCATATTATACCTTACTACAGAAATATGGGTACATTCAAGCCTACCGTCTTCTCAAGTTTGCCCGGAAACATATTCAAG